GATATCAACGCGGATGAAATAGGACACTACTACAATATATCTTATACGTTTTTCGTGTAAGTGATAGTTGATAACAAACTTTCATTTAATATGTTGCCCAGATTAAAACCAAAAATGGCATCCTGAACCAATGTAGATTATATTATACCTAGCTAGAACGAAAAGTGTACGATAACAATCTAGCTAAGTAAAAGTATATTTCAATATATTTTGTAGATACTACCTCACATCTCAGATCTGTGGTAAAATGTCATCTAAATGTTACAGAACATCATAAGACAACTTTTTTTTGTTCAAGGGATTATGTTACCAACGTACCTGAAACATATCAATTGTTCACTAAAAACAAAACAAAATATATATATCAATTGTTTAGTTAAAAAAAAACATATAAGTAAATAATGTGTATCTAAAGATATTTCAGGTCATAAATCATTTTCAACCATCTTTTATCTAGAATTATTTCTTTTTCCCTGTAAACATACGTATTTTTTTTATATACTTCCTTCTTGAAGAACTCTATAATTAAAACAAAACGTATATTATAATCAGTTCCCTCGGGCATCGTTTAAGAAATAGTAAAGCTTGCGTTTTACACTACTTTTCAATAGCCATTTTCCTACTGAAATCTCATTTAATAGATATATTTCTATGTTTGTAATTTATGCAATGGCACAAATTCAACCAATAAATATCTTCTTCAATATACATACCAACGTCCACTGCATCAGGGTGAGCCTCAACCCATTTTGGAATTGTAAGTCCCATAAATAAGGACAAGCCCAGAATGAATATGTTTCTCGAAGAATGGAGATCAATGCATTGCAAATTTGAAAGCCCTACACCAGTTACAATAGAGAACATCACACAAAAGATACCACCAATAATTGGTTCTGGAATGGTATTGAAAAATGCTCCAAATTTTCCTAAAACTCCAAACAGCAACATGGCAATTGCTCCACATTGGACAACACGTCTACTGGCCACCTGAAAGATAAGGAAAAAAATTATCGGTTTCCTTTTAGTGTCTAAAACTTCTTGTTTATTCAGTGACGTGTGACAGGACACAAGCTGTTTGAGTACAGCATGATAGTAAATAGAAAGTGATAAAAATAAACTTATTATAAAATAAGATCTTGTAGAAGCGTTTCTTATAGCATGTCTATCATTACAAAGAAAGAAGTTATAAAATATATCATGGTTAATTTTTATCAAACATTTTGATAATGTCTACAAAAAATTGAGGAATAACTTGTTTTCTTAGCCCAACATTCATTTTAAGTTCACCAAAATAGGTCACTCTTCAAAGTACGTGACCTTATCACCCAACCCAAATATGATGGCAATGATTTCAAGCCATACTCAAGATCATTGCAAAAGTGTGGAAATCATCACTTCATAAAAATGGGGATATTTTAAAGAGAATTGCTCAAACTTTAGGTGTT